CGTGAAAACTTCCTGGCCCCACTGCCCAAGCTGCCCCAGAGGATCTGTCCTTTATTTCCACGGTATTTATCAGCTAACCCAAGTGCAAAAACAGAAGACAAGAAATCATCCTTTTTTTTTTTTTTCTTTCCTGCTCTTTACCTGGGGAGGACCCAGACCTAAGCCAGCAGGTATTCTGTGCATTGCAGCTCCTACTGAGTCACCAGGGACCTGGGGCGCTTAGCACCTCACAGGGTCAGGCTCACCCATCCCGGCGAGGGGCTCCGCAGGGCTCTTCGCCTGCGGAGGGTGGCCGAGACGCAGGACACGGACGTTGCCAGACGGGAGACCCGAGCCGCAGCACCGGGCTGTCACCAGAGGGAGCCGCAGGAAGGATAAAGACTCGGTATTTTTTTCATTGTTTTCTTTGGCACATACAACACAGTTCAAATGTCTTTTTTGAATTGCATTTTTTATTAGACGAACACGATTTTAATATATAATTTAAAACTCCACGTGCACACGGCCTAGGATGCAACGTGCTCCCTCCCCCACCGAGTTACGAAACAGTGACGCCGTGAAGGTGAACACCAGCTCTGCGTTTGCGACCTCACAGGGATGCTAGGAATGGTGGGGAGTGGAAGCTTTGCACGCAGGTAGGTCTACGCGGGACAGGACGAAGCACATGAGGAAGAGGTAAAGAATAGGAAGAAGAGAGTAAGCCGGATCCGCCCTGGCTGAAGGACTGCTCTCCAGAAGCTGTTCTCCATTTCCCCTTCCAAATTCCTTAGGGAGCAAGAGGGTGAAGGATAGGCCACGATGCAGGCGGGGTCCCGTGGAGAGCGGCGTTGTGTGGTTTCACACACGGCGCTGCCAGCCAAGGGCCCCTGCCAGGATCGCCGCTCGGGGCACCGGCAACAACCCGCGGGCCATTCTGCACCCTGTCTTCCGCTCTCTGTGCTCTCTCCCTCCTCCTCCCGCTGCTCGCACCAACATCTAGTGAAACCAGCGGACAAGTCACTGAAGACTAATGGGATTTGGCACTTCCCTGGTGATGACCCCACTCTTGCACTCCTGTGAGGTGCCACAGGGCACTGCCTAAAAACCTCAGGGTCCTGCTTCTGAATCATGGTATTCCCAGAATTGGACTCCCTAAATAAATGGCCTGATGGGGGGACAGGGCAGGGAGGGACAACCAAAAAATCCACTGAGAGCTCGGTGGCTCCTCTTCATTTCGGTGATAGCACTTGGGCTGCTCAGCGCTTGAATCGGATAGTTATTTTAAAGCGCAAACATCGATTTAGGGGCTTTACTCCAGGTCCACTTCCCTTGGAAAGTTTGATTCTAGACAGTCGACAAAAAGGAAAAGAAAAAAAAAGAGGAAGCCACACTAAGAAAAATCAAGAGTTCAGAAGACTCATCAAAAACTGTTTCAACCTTACAAAGCATGTGCCTTTTGACTCAGGCCTCAAAATCAATTTACTGCATTATTAAAAAAATAGCAATATAGAAACTACCCCTTTCTCAGTTCAAAGTTTAAGCACATCAAAGAAGACCCTACAAAAACAGTCCTCTTTCTGGCAAGGCACTATCCAGTGGTGTGTGGCACAGACAAAAACACCTCTATCAAAGCCACTGATACAGTGAATGTGTGCATGCACATCAGCCCACACAGCAACTTCAGCTAGGTACAAAAATTTACAGTTTAATTCACACTGCTCTCCCTTTTAAAAAGCGGGGTAGTGACAAGCATTAGCTAAAAATTGGGATCATTTGGTTCTCAAGCATACCTTTATATGCAAGTATTTTAAAGAGAATTAAGAATTTGCTACTTCTTTCAATAAATGGCTCTAGTTTCCACAGACCTCTTCAGTTACCTGATAGTTACATTTCATTATTACAAAACTGATTTAAAAAATTCCAGATCACCTTGTGTAACAAACTAGAACTCTACTTGCTTTAATTACAAAAATAAGGCTGTCACACAACAGACCAAATTCACATTCAAGCAACATATATACTTTTTTTTTTTTTTAAACTAGCCACTTATAATTCAAAAGCACATATTCTAAGGGACTTACACTGCCAATCCATGCAAGCAAGCAGGATATCTTTGGAGCTAGTGCTGTCCTCCATACAACTGATTACGCCCACACGCGTGCTCTGAACTGAGCTAGGTTTACCTAAGAGCTGTAACAGGACTAGCCCTCCGCTGAGCGGGAGGCTTCTACTCCACAGTTCTCAAAATTCAAGAGGAGTTTTGTGAAAGTAATGTCATCCCTGGACAAATCAATGTGGTTTTGCCTTTCACATCAGTAAGCCTGGGATTTCGCCCAGGATCACTCACGTGTATATACACTTACACGCTCAGGGAAGTTTTTCGAAACTGAGACTTCAGGCAGTTCTCAAAGTTTACAACATATCAAGTACATGATAAATCCAGGATGGCTTCTCTGTAATCAGCTGCATAATTATGTAAATTTATATCTGTATTCATTTGCAAAGTTAAATATTTTTCTTTAACTATTTTTTTTAGGAATCGTTACATTAACTTGGTGAAGTTAACGAAGTGCAGCTCCACCTCATGTCACATTCCCTTCCTATAGTGAGGTTCAAGTCTCATGAAAATATGGGATTGGTGACAAGAATGTCACAATAACTTACAAAAGACAACATAATTCTTAAAAATGCACATACATACATGTATATACATATATGTATATGCACGTTATCAACTCCCATTCAGGATTCCTCTAGAGAAGGTGCTGTAGCTAAGATTTTGACCAGTAAATACAACCATGGACTTGAAATCTGTGTGTGCTCTTGCTCCACCTAGCCCTTTAACTGAGCTGAGGAGGCACCAGAGAATCCAAAGAGAAACTGATTCATGGATGGACTCCTTTAACATCTCCTTTTTTAAAGCTTTCTTGCCTTTGTACTACAGGGAAAAGCCACACAGCTGTAAGCAGTTTGTAGCTGAGACAACATGAACAGGAAGGCAACCTGTTCTTTACTCTAGCAACTGGCAGTCATGAACATTGTTCATGTCATACCTCTGTAGTCATGAGTAAGCCACCGTCCAAAAGCTGCGAGGCTACAGTTCTCCTGTTGTTCAGCATCTTCAGCAGGGACTTGGGATGATGACCTAGCGTGCACCCTCAGCAAATCTGTGAACGACACCTGAACCTGCTTCAGTGGTTGGTTACAGCTGGCAGAGCGTCAGCCCAGTGGCATCCCAATAACCTTGAGGACTGGGCCAACAGAAACCTCATGAAGTTTGATAAGGACAAGTAGAAAGTTCTGCCCTTGGGGGTGGCGAAGCATCAGTATGGGCTGAGAAGCGACTGACAGAGTAATACCCCTGCTGAAGGGACCTGGGGATTTTAGTGAAGGCCATGTTGACCATAAGCCAGCAATGTACTCACTGCAAATAGGGGAAAGCATGCCGTGCGCTACTGCAGGAGAAGTGTGACATGCAGGCTGAGGAAAATTATTATCTCCCTCTACTCCGCACCAGTGAGGCCACATCTGAAATATTGTTTTGGGACCTTCTCCCAGTTCAAGAGGGATGTGAACAAACTGGAAAGAGTAACCCTCCACCAAAGCAAAGCAGCCAGGGGCCTAAAGCACACAGCCTGTGAAGAGAGGCTGAGGAAGCCAGGTTTGTTTACTCTGGTAAGAAGGCAGCTAAGAGGTGATCTAATAGTAGCCTACAACTATCTTGAGGGCAGTTACAAAAAGAATGGTGCCAGTCTCTTCCTGTGAGTGCCAGAAAACATAGCAAAGGCAACAGCCACAAATTACAGCCTAGGAGTTGACGCTGGCCATGAAAAGAAAGTTTTCACTAGGAGCGTACTGCAGCACTGGCACAGGTTACCTAGAAGGTTATGAGATCTTCATCTTTGGATATTTTTAACACTCTGCTAGACAAACCCATATCTGGTCTGAGCGAGTGTTCGTGTTAGCCCTGATTTTGACAGTGCTGGACCAGACGACCTCCAGCTGTCCCTTCCAGCTAACATGTCTCAGATGCCATGGTTACTGATTTTAACAGAACATGTGATCTGTTGCACAGACAGTGCTGCTTTCTGACACTTTTTACAAGTTTGGCTGCCTTCAAGCCACACAGTCTAAGTGATGCCGTGATTGCAAAGAAGGCTTCCCACATAATGGTTGTCTTTCATTTACCCAAAGATGTAAGGACATTTATTGGAATGGCACTACCCTGTCATTATGAAATCACTTGAGTAAAAGCTACATTACAGCATAGCTGTTATTTTCATAGCCAGACTTGATTCAAAATGCATAATGCAATTTGACTTCTGTCTAGAATGCATTTGGTAATGGTTATTGGCAAGTCACGGGCCTAAGATCCCTGTGTGCATCGATGCAGTCCCACTGGAACAATCTCCGTTTCCTTTACTTGGCCCCTGTTCCTCAGCTGAGCTGACCACTGTGGCCTCATCCAGCAAAGCACACGCTCAGATTTCTCACTGTCTTTGAGGCACCTCCACATTTCCACACCTGAGGATACAACCAGGACAACAGCTGGGTGAGTTAGGTGTGCTCTTGGACCATGGTAGAGTGTTTAACCACCTATGGGACTGAGCCCTGGCTCTCAAAGCATCCCCCTGACTTTCATGTGACTAAAGGTGGAGCTGTGTGTTATTGAAGGTAAACTCAAGGTTTTGGCAAAATTTCATTTTAAGACAGTCCAACTATAAAGCTCCAACTTTGGGTGTTAAGTCTTTCTCAGTTAAGAGATAACTTAATATTATCATTAGCTATGAGACCTCTTCTTCTGAACTACCCAATATTTTCCACCAAGTGTTTTCCTGCACATTTCACCCACATTTGGAACAGGAACCATGTCAAAATATTTCACTTTGGCACCTCCTCCATGATAACAACTGTTTTTAAACAGCCAGTTGCAATATGCATCGTTAGAAAAATCAAGTTTCCATGAACAACGTGAGCAGCCCGTGTCTCTTACAATAAACATGATGTAGCATAAACATCACAATAAATAAATGTAGAGCAAAAATGCAGCAGTTACTGGCTTAGACTGAGATCTTAAGACTGACAATTTTTACCTTCTGGATCACAGCTAGCACAAACATTCCAATAACCACCAGCACTTTAACTATCATGATGAGCTAATTTCAACTACAGTAGTTGGAAGAATTAAAAAAGGTAAGAAATCTGGCTACATAAGTATATCCATGAACAATAGAAGCCCTACACTTCCACTCCTTATTCTCAAACATATGTGTCTGTTAGAATATCAGTGCCAGTTGCAAAAGCAATCCAAAGACAAAAGTGAAACATCAACAATGAGTATTTTTAAAAAGGAAGATGAGTAGTCCAGCCTTAATCCTGTTTCATATACATGTTATTAACTCCACGTTATTGGAGAGCACCGTCCCATGGCAAGCAGACTACTACTAATGATGCATGTTTGCTCTATCACAGTGATCCATTAGGGAAGCTGTTGTGTGCTGAAGAACAGGGTCATTCATCCAGGAGATGTGCTTGTCGATACTTCAGATAGGCTTTCTAGGGTTCTGACTCCTATTTAAAAGAAAAGAAAAAAAAAAAGATCAATGCTATGAATAAATTCTCATCTCCTGTGTCTGTGACCTTCGCATATAAGGTGCCCCTAACCCTGGTCCACACGGCAGCTGAGGATGCGTCACTCTGAAACACTACCAGACTGAAGCAGTGACCTGGCCAAGTTTACAGAGACACTCCTCCAGGCTTACAACAGGTTACTTCCCAGGAACAGAGCTGCACAGAAGCTGCTATTTCTGATTGCTGTAGGACATCATCTTTTTCCTAGGACTAGTTCTTCAAGCTATGAAGCTTGAAGTAAGGCTGCCAAAATAACGTGCTTTTGCGGTTCCCTGATGAGGTTTCCTCCTACTCCTCTCCTTCATGGGTCCAGAAATAAATGAATCCCTGACAGGAGAGGAATTCTATAGATACCCAAGAGCTACCATCCAGGCCTGAAACAATACTACTACCAAACACAGCTGTATCTACAGTGGCCAAGGGAAGGAAAATCCTCTCCTGTGTGTCTGATCTACTGCCCAGCAGTGCACTGTACAGTCTCTTTGAACAAGTGCCCAGGCCTCCATATGGCAATAAAATCTCCTCTGTTATACTGCCCTCAACAGAAAGATGTTAACTGGCTTTGTGTTCTGACCTGTATATATGTATTTGTTAAAACTTAATTCTTATCCAAAAAGTTGCTGTAACTCCTGACTGCTCCAGCATTTCAGCATTTAAAAAAAAAAATTAATGCCTAATAAATAAATGCTGTCCTGGTTGAGCCATTATGCCAGGCTGGGCCAGTAAGACAATGTTTTGGTGACAGAAGCTGCAGATATTCCAGTGATTAAGATCCTAGTTCCATCTCCTGTTATAATTAAGTCAGTTGCATTCAATTTACACTGATAACGTGAAGGAGAATGCACTCTTTAAACTTCATTTATCTGCTGCCTCAAATTAACTCCCATGTATATGCTTCATTTCATTTAAAATGCTTTGCTTCTCATGGCAACAGTTTCAATTACTTTATTAGCATGAATTTGATATGGACAAGGTATGGATCAAGGCAGTGGTGCATCCGAACACACGGAGTTCTTTTGGTTCAAAGAAAATTCAATATCATCATTTCAAGAATTCCATGAAAAGTCTGCAATACTACACTGACCTTTGATGCCAAAGTAGGTTTCAGTCCAAGAAAGGAGAAGACAGTGTTGCTCTCCTTTGATTCAAAAAAGCCATCGTAATCCTAGAGAGAGAGAAAAAAAAAAAAAAGATGAGTCAGCATTTGTATTTGTGTTTTCCTGATTGATCTCACTACACCATGTACTAGACTAAAAGGTCATACATAATAATGCTCAGGAAAATACGGATACTTACCCATATTCTCCTATGCAAACCTGAAAGCTATTCTAAACTGCAATAATATCACCAACTACAATGGCAAAGAAGAACACAAATTCTCTGACTACAACACCTTTGACTACTTTATTTGACAGGAAAATACAAACATGGACTTGCATTCAAACGAAATCTATTGTGGGTATATTTTAAAGGTATTTAAGTGCCTAACAATGCAAATAAGTTTCTGACTGGGTTTCCGATTTGTATTTTAGCAAACAAAATACTTCCTAAAATGGAAACCCCCAAGAAGAAGTCCTAAGGCAGCTGAACTCCTTATTTCTTCTGTGGTGGAACAGAGACCTCATCATCATTATATCCTTTGAAATCAGCAATCATATCTCAGCCTTGGACAACGACATAGTTAAATATGAAATGTTACCATAAAGAAACTTGTGGTATAGAAAGAGAAAAAATGAGCTTCATTATCATGATTAAGTTCCTTTTAGGTTTTAGCTGCTTAAGATCAGGTTCTGATCTCAAAGTGTTACTACTACCTTTACTGATTTGTTTATTGCATTGGACACCTGCTTACTCTTCTATCATCAGATGAGCTGACAATATTCAGGCAAAAAAAAGAAAAACAGAGCACAGTTTAGTGAAAGGATTTGGCATATGGCAAGAAGCCAGCAAGTTCCAGGTTCTCTTAGTGGTCTGGCAAAGATTTCCTCTATGACCACTAGAAAACAATATGGCACCCAGTTCAGATTCTTTTCCTCCTCCACACACCTGCAAAATGGAAATATTAATCCTTATTTAACCACTTCTGATATGTAAAATACTCTGTAAATGACAGGAAATTTCAGGTATGTGGTCATCGCCACATAGCAATTATCTCTAATATCTAAGATTAGTAGTTACACTTAACTTGAAAGCATTCAACAAGAGAAATCCCTTTAAATATTGACTGTGCCGATACATGGTTTCATTACAGAATGGTAACACGCATCTCCGTGCCTCCACATGCTTCCGATCTGTGTAACCATCATTCCCAATGCACCTGATCCCCAAAGTTAGCACTTCTTTGGCTCCTAACCTCTAATCTCATTCCTTTCTGAGAGCCCATCTCTCATTGTTACAGTTTCAGGTGCTTTACCTGAAATTGGACCTCAATTTTTCCTCAGCGGCAGCTGCTCTGCCCACTTGTCTCCTTCCACTCCTGCCTTCTTTTGAACCTGTAACCTCACAAACCACACCACAATCACAGGGGACCATGTAAGATAAACAGAAAAAGCTGTAATTGAAAAGCAGAAATCTTTCTCTGACCTGGCTGTCCTTGGAAGGCCATCATAGGATATGCAAAGATTAGGAACCTTCTTTTATCTTCTAACCAGAGTTTACTCATGCCTAGTCAATACCCACTTGTGCTGACATTTTGTCTTCTCAGGTCCTAAGCAGGAAGCAAAAATGGTCTGGGCAAGTGTTCTGCTTCCCAGTATTTCTCTGGGTCTTCACAATGCAGTGTGAATCTCTGACTAGCCCTTCACCCCACCTGCCAGACCCAATTATAAGATACACCAAATCATATCCTTGCAGAAGGATGGTTGGTATTTTGTGAAATAACTTTGTAAGGAAAGTGTGTGCTTGTAGATGAAGACTTTACTTCTCTTCATTCTCTTTTTTTCCTCTCCACCAACCTAAAATAAAAGATTGTTCAGACAGAAAATACAGAGTCACCATTGCAGGGATAATATACCTCCCACGAGATCCATCATCATTCTGCAGATGTGCAGAATTTCTCCTGAAACCTTTATGGTGCACTAGACAAAGATGCTTTACTAGCATTTCCATAATGATATACTGTTATACCAATGTGAACACGACTGTCCTAGCAAAGTGATACTTTGCAGTTGCATAACCATTCAAATAACCTCAGCCCAGAAAAAGACATAGCTGCACAGACGCAGTTTCCCAGCCTAATCCTCTACACTAACAGAATCTGCCCTGCAAGACACAGAGAGGCCAGCAGGAGTGTATGATGGTCATTGGGCCTCAGACATATTAGCTGACCTAAGCAGAAGGCGTAAACCTTCTTTTTAAGATGGCTTTTTGTCATCATCATCTTAAAAGATGGCATATTGCTGTGCTATAGACTCAGGCAATAAGTCAGTATTCCAGGACTAAGCTTTATGGCTACTGATCCTTTCAGCTTTCATACACATGTATATATAGAATCATAGAATCACAGAATCATTTAGATTGGTAAACACCCTTAAGATCATTGAGTCCAACCATTAACCTAACACTGCCAAGGCCACCACTAAACCACTAAACCCTAAGCGCCACATCTACACATCTTTTAAACACCTCCAGGGATGGGGACTCAACCACTTCCCTGGGCAACCTCTTCCAATGCTTGACTACCCTTTTGGCGAAGAAATTTTTCCTAAGATCCAATCTGAACCTCCCCTGGCACAACTTGAGGCCGTTTCCTCTTGTCCTATCACTTGTTACTTGGGAGAAGAGACCAACCCCCACCTCACTACAACCTCCTTTCAAGTAGTTGTAGAGAGCAATAAGGTCTCCCCTCAGCCTTCTTTTCTCCAGGCTAAACAACCCCAGCTCCCTCAGCCGCTCCTCAGAAGACTTGTGCTCCAGACCCTTCACCAACTTCATTCCCCTTCTTTGGACATGCTCCAGCACCTCAGTGTCCTTCTTGTAGTGAGGAGCCCAAAACTGAACACAGTACTCGAGGTGCGGCCTCACCAGTGCCAAGTACAAGAGAGAGACAGCACACGCATTTTTTCTATCTAGTTTTCAGTTCCATGGTTTTCTCTATGCACAATACATAACTTCCAATGAATACCATCTACTCACTTCACTCTATGGGAAGAGTCAAGTTTATTTGCCTTCACTGCCAGGGGAATTAAATACTTCAAGGAATAAAGCAGTTCTGAAGCAAAGGAAGGTAGAATCTCCCACAACAATCAGCTTCACAGACGGGAAAATGGACTTTGCAGACAGATGCTGCTTATCATTATGATGACAGAACTATTACTATTGCTTTTTAAAATGTTAACATATGAAGATATTAGACACAGTTTTAAGTTCCCTTACTGTTAATTTTAGGTATGGTCTGTTCTACCTAACCTTGAAATTAAACATAGAATTAAACAGAGGAAATAGACACATTTACTTCAATTAAAAAAATCATTAAAGATGACGAACTGATGCTAATTTCTGATTTAATGTAAATTCACAATTAATAGCCAGAAAGTAAATCCAAATAAAATGGACAGATCTCACAAGTAGGCCATGGCATAAGCTGAAACAGTACTGAAAGCAACCCCAACAATACCATGGATAAAAAGAGGACAATGTAATCATTGAATACCTAGAGGAGTAATAAGTAATACTGAAGCTCTGCAGAAGGATGTTGGATTAAGCCCTTGACTTGAAAAACTGTGTGGATGCTGTTAAACCTGCGTGGTCCAGCCTGACTCTGCTAGAGCAGATGAAAAGCCATGAGGGACATGAGATATATAAGCAACCACATGTGAAGACAGCGCCTGATCTAACTGGGAAACAACCTTAATTTTCTCCACTAGGTTCATCTACAAGTGAGCCACACTGTCTCTGGAGCTGAAGGTAGGGGAGCATTGGTTGAGTACAACCCACAGCGAGAAGAACAAGGGCACCCCTTTAATATCAGGGCAGGTTTAAATTGCCTTAAGCTGCTCATTACAGCCTTGTAAACTATAAGCGGCCAACCTGCGGGCAGGCAGCTATTGCGAGCATTTCTGCAGCACCACATCATTTTCACTCCCTGCCAAGAGCACCCTTTCCTCCTAAGCACACAGGCAGTTTTCATGAAGCCCCAGACACCTGTTTGTCTCAACAGTTTGTCCAAGAGAAGGCTGTCTGTTTGCTCAGGTCAGTCATCATCTCTCATCACCATTTTCAAGTTCTGGGGTTCTCCTGAAGTATCTTAATCCCAGTACTTCAATTAGCTCTAAAACCATCACTGCTCTAAGACCATGGTTTTTTCACTCTTTGTTAATAAATTGGAAAGAAAAACAGGGTAGGGAAGGATTCACAGCCTGAAAATAATGTCATAAGAAATAAGGCTGCATTCCTGGCTCTGACAATGACTTTGTGACTCAGCTAATCCACCAATATCTGTGAACATAACATCTGTTTAGCTTAACCTCTGTAAAGCAATTTAAGACTTAATCATAAAAAGCTTTCTGAAAGTGCTACTTACCAGTTTTTACCTGCAGAAGTATCCAGGCCTGATTCAGTACGTTTTTTGCAAATTTTTACCGATTATCAAACCTGGATTCACTTACTGAAAAAATCGTGAAGGTTAAGCAATGAGCTAAACTGAGTAAGTGATGTTTGAAAGAGCACAAAACCCAGTGGACTGATTCATTTTAAAAGGAGCAGAATATTTAATAATCGCAAGAGATTCTCCACCAGAAGCAATCTCCCCAATGTTTTGAAATATCTGCATTGCAAAACACATTAAAATGCTATTGACACTCTCTTACTTTCATGGGGGATGGGGGTAGAAGCATAATACTTTTAGATAAAGTAGCAGTAAAATTTTAAATAGGAGAATTTTCCTACTAATCTCTGCAATGAAAACATATGATCCCAAAACATTCAAATGTGGGAAAAAGTTATAAAAATGCATAATAGTCCTATAAAAGGTGAAAGAAATCACTTTAGTATGGTAGCTTCTTAAGAGATTTTTGAGCAGCATGATTTCAAGGAACATGATCTCAAGGAACACCATCTCAAGGACTCGTCAGTTTTGCTTTGGTGTGTGGTAGGAGTTCAAAGTGGGCATCCCTGGCTTTCCCTGTAATACAGGCGAGATAACAGATGTTCCAAAAACATCCTGCC